ATTTGAATTTAATCAGGTAACTTCGTTTAATTTCTTCACTTGAATTGGAGAAAAACGATGACATAGTAATTAATAGATGACCGTTTATTTGAATGAACTTATACTTATTTCATGTCATCAACTGAACATTACGTGTGATGATCATCATTTAGTGATTGCCACATCATAGATTATCTTAAGTAGAATTGAAATTAAATTAAAGTGTGATTTTATAGTTGAAATTTAATTAAAATGATGTTACCGGATTAAAATTATAGCGTAAATATAATTTTCGTAAATTAAATTTACACAATTTAGAACACTGGGGATCTCTACGTTCATGATTGTCATTATTGTAGAACATCTAAATTTTTCAAACGATATCGTATGTGCTAGACATGCGTTTCATGTAATCGTGAATGAACGAGGATAATATGAAAATTACAGTAAATATTCATATTATTAAATTTTTATTTGAAAAAAATTTGATCCCACGGAATTTAGTACATGCATATATTACGGTAGGACATCAAAGGACTAAGTTGTACGTTCACCCCGTCTGTAAAAGCTTGGCCTGGGCTGTCATGGCCTACTACATAGAACAATGCTGGTCTTACAGTCTTGCATCACAGTCAGAGTCACAGCATTTTGAAATTGTTGACATGGCAATGACCCGACCCAACAAATGAAAAACCGACCCGGCCCAATCAAGTGTTGAGAACCCCATTTCCCACCTTTTCCCCATTCCCCCTTTTCCCCAAATCTCTCCCAAACAACACCGTGAAATCGCGATCGGCTGCCAACCAATTGAAAATCGTCACTGCGCTTCCAGTCGATTCCAGCCACGATGGTGCCCACCGGTGTTGTGGCTGTCCTCCCCAGCCCTGGTCTCCCCAGTCGCGGTCGTACAAAATCGAAATCAGTCCGCGAAGAGGCAAAACGGAAATCGATCGGTCGGTGCTGTCGTCGTCCTCCTCAGCCCGGTGTCGCCATCCTCCCCAGTCCTGGTAACCTATCCATTCCTTTCATGTTTGTTGCTGGTCATTTCCTGCTTAGGGCGATTACGGATTTCGGTTTAATGGTGATGGTCGGACTTTATAATTGTTGTGAAGATGGAGTCATGTCATTCATTATATAGTAACTCTAGTTAATTACATATAATTAACTCTAATTGGTTACTAGAGATTAGTTTGCATTCATCATGTTTCTAAGTTTGATTAGTTTGCTCTTGAAAGCAAGCCTTCTAGCAGTATATTGTTCCCTTGTACAGTGAAGTCAGTAGTTGAGCTGTTAAATTCATTTTTTTCATGATTCAGAAGTTGGATGAAACTGAAATCAGTCCACCCAATGCTTTAACTTGTATGTATTCACGTCTAAATTGAAAATTGCACAAAAATGTTACTGTGAAAGGGGGAAAATGTGATTTGCCTGATTGAGCATTATAAGTCAGTTATTAACAATGAATATGTCTTACTTTGATGTAGGAAAGGAAACAATGGAAATATTGGATGATGATGTATGTGTAGAATCCAATGACATTCAGTTAATGGATAATGCAGTCAACTTGGAAGAAGATAACGATAATTTAGCAACAGATGTTAC